AAACAGATGGAGAAATATACCGTGTTCATGGATTGGAAGAATCAATATTGTCAAAATGGCTATACTACCCAAAGCAATCTACAGATTCAATGCAATCCCTATCAAACTACCAACGGTATTTTTCACAGAACTAGAACGAATAATTTCACAATTTGTATGGAAATACAAAAAACCTCGAATAGCCAAAGTAATCCTGAGAAAGAAGAATGGAACTGGAGGAATCAATCTGCCTGACTTCAGACTCTACTACAAAGCCACAGTCATCAAGACAGTATGGTACTGGCACAAAGACAGAAATATAGATCAATGGAACAGAATAGAAAGCCCAGAGATAAATCCACGAACCTATGGTCAATAAAGGAAGCAAGGATATACAATGGAAAAAAGACAACCTCTTTAACAAGTGGTGCTGGGAAAACTGGTCAACCACCTGTAAAAGAATGAAACTAGAACACTTTCTAACACCATACACAAAAATAAACTCAAGATGGATTAAAGATCTAAATGTAAGACCAGAAACTATAAAACTCCTAGAGGAGAACATAGGCAAAACACTCTCCGACATAAATCACAGCAGAATCCTCTATGACCCACATCCCAGAATTTTAGAAATAAAAGCAAAAATAAACAAATGGGACCTAATGAAACTTAAAAGCTTTTGCACAACAAAGGAAACTATAAGCAAGGTGAAAAGACAGCCCTCAGATTGGGAGAAAATAATAGCAAACGAAGCAACAGACAAAGGATTAATCTCAAAAATATACAAGCAACTCCTCCAGCTCAACTCCAGAAAAATAAATGACCCAATCAAAAAATGGGCCAAAGAACTGAACAGACATTTCTCCAAGGAAGACATACAGATGGCTAACAAACACATGAAAAGATGCTCAACATCACTCATTATCAGAGAAATGCAAATCAAAACCACAATGAGGTACCATTACACACCAGTCAGGATGGCTGCTATCCAAAAGTCTACAAGCAATAAATGCTGGAGAGGGTGTGGAGAAAAGGGAACCCTCTTACACTGTTGGTGGGAATGCAAATTAGTACAGCCACTATGGAAAACAGTGTGGAGATTTCTTAAAAAGCTGGAAATAGAACTGCCATATGACCCAGCAATCCCACTTCTGGGCATACACACCGAGGAAACCAGATCTGAAAGAGACACGTATACCCCAATGTTCATCGCAGCACTGTTTATAATAGCCAGGACATGGAAGCAACCTAGATGCCCATCAGCAGACGAATGGATGAGGAAGCTGTGGTACATATACACCATGGAATATTACTCAGCCATTAAAAAGAATTCATTTGAATCAGTTCTAATGAGATGGATGAAACTGGAGCCCATTATACAGAGCGAAGTAAGCCAGAAAGATAAAGACCATTACAGTATACTAACACATATATATGGAATTTAGAAAGATGGTAGCGATAACCCTATGTGCAAAACAGAAAAAGAGACTCCTATGTATAGAACAGACTTGTGGACTCTGGGAGAAGGCGAGGGTGGGATGTTTCAAGAGAACAGCATTGAAACACGTATATTATCTAGGGTGAAACAGATCACCAGCCCAGGTTGGGTGCATGAGACAAGTGCTCGGGCCTGGTGCACTGGGAAGACCCAGAGGGATTGGGTGGAGAGGGAGGTGGGAGGGGGGACCGGGATGGGGAATACATGTAAAAAAAAAAAAAAAAAGATACACTATGGTTGTGATAAAAAAAATAATAATAAAAAAAAAAAACAAAAAAACGAAACACAACATTTGTGAAGCACAGTAAAGTGAAGTGCAATAAAATAAGGTGTGCCTGTATTTTAAAAGGACATTGTAACATTTTTATACATTTTAATACCACTTTTAGAAATTCATTTTTAATTGGAGGATAATTGCGTTTTAATGTTGTGTTGGATTCTGGCATGCATCAACATGAATCAGTCATAAGTGCACATATGTCCCCTCCCTACGGAACCTCTTCCCACTTCTCACCCCACCCCAACCTGCTAGGTTGTCTCAGAGCCCCAGTTTGAGTTCCCTGTGTCATACACCAAATTCCCACTAGCTATCTGTTTTACAAACAGTAATGTATATGTTTCCCTGCTACTCTCTCAATTTGTCTCACCCTCCCTTCCCCCTTTAAATAGAATATTTTTCAGCTAATATTCTAATGATTTCATGTTATTAGAATCTGGGTTTGTGATGTCTTAGTTAAAATATTTTGTGTTACTTGCAGTTTGCAAGTAACTTATGGCTATGGAAAAAATGTAGGCAAGTCTCATCTTCTGTAAAACTAAAAGGACAGATTTTTCCCCAAAGCATGAGATTATATGGTCTGCCCTGGACACTGCCCCCAAGGTTGGGTATAGAGGACAGCTATTTCTTTAGTTCATTTTCTCACTCATTCTGTGAGCACTTACCGTGGGCTTCTGAATTCCCAGCTCAGCACAGTGCTGGATGCAGCGATAGGGAAGCTGTGGTTCCTGTCCCCATGGGGCTTCCTGTCCTGGGGTAACGGCCATGACATGTGTTATTACATTCATGCTGGTGGCTGTGGGGGCCCAGAGGGGGAAGGAATAGCCAGGCAAGTGTTCTGGGGGCTCCCTGGGGTGGTGGGAGGAGGGTGACCCTGGCTGAGACTGGATGGATTGGGAGGCACCTTGGGAGGTGCAGGGCAGAGCCAAGGGCCCCAGGGCTGGAGCACAGGGCAAGGTGAAGGCTGACAGTGGACAGGAGAGGGGACAGGGAGGCGTAGGCTTGCGTCTGAAGGGAGCAGTCAGAGCCTCTGCACGAAGGACCTGTGCTCAGGGCTGCGGACTGTTTGGGGCTCACTGGGAGCCGGCGCAGGTGTTTTGACTTGATCATTTGGTAATGTCTGGTTCAACCAGTTTGGTAATCCCTGGAGATCGACTGGTTAGTGCTGGCGAGAGCAGCTCTGGGGTGGCAGGTGTCAGGCTCACTGAGCCGGCATCTCTCATTGGGGGTGTGTGTGTGTGCGTGCGCGTGCATGCAGAGTGTGTGTGTGTGTGTGAGTGCACGCGTCTGCATGCTGTGTGTGTGCGTGCGCGTGCATGCAGAGTGTGTGTGTGTGTGAGTGCACGCGTCTGCATGCTGTGTGTGTGCGTGCGCGTGCATGCAGAGTGTGTGTGTGTGTGAGTGCACGCGTCTGCATGCTGTGTGTGTGCGAGCGCGTGCATGCAGAGTGTGTGTGTGTGAGTGCACGCGTCTGCATGCTGTGTGTGTGCGTGCGCGTGCATGCAGAGTGTGTGTGTGTGTGTGAGTGCACGCGTCTGCATGCTGTGTGTGTGCGTGCGCGTGCATGCAGAGTGTGTGTGTGTGTGCATGTGTGTATGCAGAGTATGTGTATGTGCACGCACACGTGGCAGAGTTGTCCCTATCACTGAGGTGGGGAGCATGGTTGGTCGGGAGAATAAATCTGGTCTGAGGCCTGTGGAATATGAGGAATTCATAGGTTGTTGGATAAATTTGTACATTAGGGGCCTCCTTAGTGGCTCAGATGGTAAAGAATCTGCCTGCAATGCAGGAGACCCAGGTTCAATCCCTGGGTCAGGAAGATCCCCTGGAGAAGGATATAGCAACCCACTCCAGGATTCTTGCCTGGGAGATCCCACGGACAGAGGAGTCTGGTGGGCTATAGTCCTTGGGGTCATGAAGAGTCAGATATGACTGAGTGAATTGACACTTTTCTCACTTTCATAAATTCATTGGAAGCATGAGATTGGAGTTTGGTGCACATAATTGCAACCCCACCCCCACCCCCTGCCGCCACCTCAGTAGTATGGAACAGGAACATTCCGAAAGGAAAGGGGCCATACTGAACATGACTTCATGTGGGCTTGAGTAGTTTAGAAAGGTAGGCAAAAGGAGCATTTTTTTTTTTCCTTTTTCAATTCCAATTGATATTTTAGTGATGTTTAATGGATAAAGCCCTGGGCTTGCTTTCCTTCTGGCATCAGTCAAATGCTTGACCCAATTATGCCGCCTGCCATGCATATGGATAAAATGTTATGAAATTAAAACCACAGGCTACCAGGGGCTTCCCTGGTGGCTCAGTCTGTAAAGAATCTGCCTGCAGTGCAGGAAACCTGGGTTCTGTCCCTGGGTCAGGAAGATCCCTTGGAGGAAGAAATGACAACCCACTCCAGTATTGTTGCCCGACAAATTCCATGGACAGAGGAGCCTAGTGGGCTATAGTCTACAAGGTCGCAAGAGTTGCACATGTCTTAGTGACTGAACCACCACCAGGACCTCGGTTTAATACATAGCCCAATGGCTGATCAATACCTGTTGTAGCTGTTGCTCTGTTGTGTGGCTTCTAAATATGCAGAGGGGCTGTGGAGGTTTTATTTTTTTGTGGTAAAATTAATACATGTTTATTGTAGAAATTTTAAATTGAAAGCTCTAGCAAGCCCCAGAAAAGGAGAAGACAACCAATCATAAGGACCAACCCAATTGTAATATATTGTTATTGTTTCTTTCGGTCTTTCTGGTTCATTTCTATGCAGCTGTGCCATTTCATCCAAAGGGTTTAATGTCATACATTATAAAGGGAAGATGTGACCTTTTGCAGGATATGGAAGTTTGGGGCTTTGCATATGGGTCCTGACAGTGACTATGTTCTAGGTGGGGAACAGATCCATATAAGTAGAGGCAAGATGCTTTATGGTCTAGTGAGTAGTCTACTTGGGGTGTAGCATAGGTTGGATTTGGGGGAAATTAAATGGAAATGAATGATGGCACAAATGATGGAAGTTCTGGTCATCTTTAATTGTGTCAGCTCGTCCCCAATTCTGTTAAAAGTCTTCATCCTCCTTTTATCCATCTTGCATCACAAAGCATGATCACATAAACGATGTAAGGAGACTAGCCCATCAGTGTGACTTGGGGGTGAGGGTGAAGCCAGGTGGGGAGTCAATGTATGTAGCTTTAGAGATTTGGGGGGAATAGTTACTTAAAATTTTTGTTTGTTTGTTTCTCCAGGAGAATATGAAAGTATTACTCAGGCTTCTTTGTGTCATCACTTTACTGATTCCTTCTCTGGAGGCCGGTGAGTAAAGCATTTCCTTGTGTTCCTGTCTGCTAAGAAAATCTGTTACGTAGAATACCTGTGGTACCTTCCTTAACAGCATCATTTTTCTTACCTGTGTCTGTGGATTTCCAGGTCACAGAACTGTATGCTGGATACCCTTTCAACATCTTTACTTTTCATTCTCTCATTTGTCCATTGGGAAGCTGAAGCCCAGGGAGGTTAGGAGCCCACGGTCATGAGGCTGTTTTAGAGCAAGAGCTGTAATCCATGCCACAAATGTCTAGTCCAGGTCTCTCCCCACTTTGTTGCTGTTTAAAGAGTATAATCCGGAGGCTCCTGGTTTTCATTTGGAAGAGGTGTAAAATGCAGTCTTTATGAACCCACAGCTGACAGTTCTTTATTTTCTCCATTTATTCATCTTCACTCTTCCCCTCTCCCTCTCTTACTGCAAATGCATTTAGCCCTACTATGTGCCAGGCACTGCTACTGGAACTACAGCCATGAATGATCCAGACAGAAATATCTGTCTGCATGGGGTTTACATTCCAGTAATGGACAGAGACAATACCTTAGATAAGTAAATATATATTATGTCATATGTTGGTAAGTGTAGAGAGAAAAAAAAGCAGGAAAAGGTAGGTATAAATTTGGGGGTTGGGGTGGGCAGAAGGTTACATTTTTTTGATAGTGTGGCCAGAAAAGATCTCATTAAGAAGTTGACTTGACCCTGAAGGAGGGGGTGGAGGGAGCTATATAGACCAGGTTGGGGTGGAGAAATAGTCTAGGCAGCCTGTGTCAGGGTCCTGAGGCCAGGAGTACTGGCATGCTCCAGGAACTGAAATCTGCTGTGCCTGGAACAGAGTGAAAGGTGAGGGGTCTGATTTGAATGATGGGGGTTGGGGGAGGGTTGGCCATGTAGAAAATTTAGTGACTTTTCTAAGGATCTTGGCTTGTACTCTGAAATGGGAAGACTGTGTAGGTTTCCTGTTTAAACCTAGAGAGGTGATTTTTTTTTTTTGGGGGTTGCACTCTGTGGCTTGCGGGAACTTAGTTCCCCAACCAAGGATCGAACTTAGGCCCTCCACAGTGAAAGCGTGGAGCCCTAACCACTGGACTGCCAGGAAATTTCTATATTTTACAGGCTCATTCTGGTTCTTATACTGTGAACAGGCCATTGGGAGGCAAAGGAAGAAATAGGCCAGTTAGGAGGTGGTTACAGTGGTTCAGGCAAGCTATGAAGGTCAGCTTTTCAAGGGTGACAAGGAGAATTGAGTTGTCAGAGTCTGGATATACTTTGACGACAGAGCCAAGAGGATTTTCAGATAGAGTGGATATGGATGTAAGGGACAGAGGGTTTTAGCCTGAGCACATGCAAAGTGGAGTTGCTGTTGATGAGAGGGAGGAAGGTCATGTGTTCAGACTGGACATGTTAAGGTTGTTGTTCTTGTTCAGTTGCTAAGTTGTGTCTGACTCTTTGTGACCCCATGGACTGTAGCATGCCAGGCTTCCCTGTTCCTTCATCATCTCCCAGAATTTGCTCAAACTTATGTCCATCGAGTCAGTGGTATAATCTAACCATTTCATTCTCTGCCACGCTCTTCTCCTCTTGCCCTCAATCTTTCCCAGCATCAGGGACTTTTCCCATGAGTCGGCTCTTCACATCATGAGGCTGAAGTATTGATCTTCAGCTTCAGCATCAGTCCTTCCAATGAATATTCAGGGTTGGTTTCCTTTAGGACTGACTGTGTTTTATCTCCTTGCTATCCAAGGGACTCTCAAGAATCTTCTCCAGCACCACAATAGCTGTCCATTAGATATCTACATAGTGATCTGATTAAGCAGTCTGGAGCTAGAGATTAGAGGGATAAAGTTGAAGACCTTGGCAAGCAGGTGGTATTAGAACTCTGAGACTCGATGGGGAGTGAGGGTGGTTAGAAAAGAACAGAGCATCAAGGAGTGAACCCTGCAGCTCTCCAAGAGTGGGTGGTCAGGCTCCCACTCATCCAGAGCCAGTGACGGACTGGCCCGAAGTGCAGAAGGAGAACCAAATGTAGGAGGCTTCCTGGAAACCAAGTGAAGAACCTGTTAAGGATGAGGATAGCACGTGTCCAGTGCAATGGATGGCATCACTGACTCAATGGACATGAATCTGAGCAAACTCTGGGAGGTAGTGAAGGACAGAGAGGCCTGGCGTGCTGCAGTCCGTGGGGTCGCAAAGAGTCAGACACGACTGGGTGACTGAGCAACAGCAGCAGTGCAGATGTAAGTAAGCGGATATTTGAAAGCCATTGATTTAGCAGCTTAAAAGCCATAGGTGACCAAGTCAGAACAGTTTTGGTGGAGCCGTGGGGCAAACCCCAGATAAACAGGAGAGTGTGTTGAACTGAGTTCTTCAGGCTTACTCTTTTATCACTGTTAATTGTTGTTGCTACTGCTATTCCTAGGAGTGAAATACTTAGCAGTCCTGGCTCAATGCAGGTATCATGCTGAGCGCCTTAGCCACTTTTGTTTCAATACTGTTTTTAAGCAGCTTTAAAGGAGGTTATAATAGACTCACAATAAACCACACGTTTAAGGTATACAATTTGATGTGTTGGCATACATATCCACCCGTGAAACCATCACAATCCCAGATAATATTGAAATGAGTATAAATTGGTTTAGAGAGATTGGACGACTTAGCAATATTGAGTCTTCTGATCAAAGAATGAAGTATAGACATCGTCATTGTCTTTGATCTCTTAACATTTATTTAAATAAATTTAATCTTTATAAATTTATTTTGTAATTTTCATTAGATTGGTCTGATGCATCTTTTGTCAGATTTATCCTTAATTACTCATATCTATTGAGGCTATTATAAAAGGTATTTTCAAAAATTCAGTTTCTAATTGTTTTTGATAATATAAACTCATTCCTATTTGCATATTCATATTATATCCTACAAGTGAAGAACCCCTCTAGATCTTTTGTAGATTTTTTTGCATATTAAAGATTTCATAGCATATTCTACATAGATAATCATGTCATGTGCAAATAGACATTTTATTTTCTCCTTCAGTCTTAATGCCATTTCTTTTTCTTGCCCTAATACACTAATTAGGTCTTCCAACACAATGTTGAATAAAAGTGGTTAGAGTGGACATTCTTACCTTCTTGCTCATCTTATATATGATAGCTATAAGTTTTTTATAGCTGTCCTCTATTAGGTTTAGGAAGTTCCCACCTATTTCTAGTTTTGTTTGTTGCTGTTTTTCTTGGATAAGAAGCCAACTTTGCATTCCGAGCATGTTATGTACCTCACAGTGTACTGTCAGTTTTTAATATACTGTACGATTTGATTTGCTAAGATGTTTAAAAAAATTTTGCATCATATTCTATGATGAAGACTAGTTTATGGTTTTCCTGTAATGTCTTTGGTTTGGGAATTAGAATAATACTTATTTCATAGAGCAAATTGGAAAGTGTTTCTGACTCTTCAATTTTCTGAAAGAGTTTGTGTAAAATTGGTGTTTTCATTCTATGAATATACCAGTGAAACCATCTAAGCTTGAATTTTTGTTGTTCTTGTTGTTGGGTTTTTTCCTTAAAAAAATTTTTTTAATTGAAATATAGTTGATTTACAATATTCTGAAAGAACTAGCTTTTGTTATCTTTGATTTTTCTCGTTTGTTTTTGTTTTCTATTTCATTGATTTTTCTCTTGGAGCCATATCATTTACTGTCTTATGCTTACTTCGGTTTTAATTTTTCCTGATTTATTAAGTGGAAACTGAAGTTATTAATTTGAGATCTGTTTTCTTACAGAGGTATTTAATGCTATTGACTTCCTAGGTATTTTTTCCTTTGTATGACACAAGTGTTGATATGTTGTATTTTATCATTCAGATCAAAATATTTTCTAATTTCCTCTTGTTTCTTCTTTGATGCATGGGTTATTTATAATTTTTTTTTAAAGTTTTTAAGCACATCAGTGAATTCCTAGATATTTTTCTGTTACTGAATTCTAATTTTAATTCAGCTGTCACCAGAGAACATACTTTGAACCCTTTTAAGTTTGTTCACTGTTGGGTTTGAATAAGAATATGGTTTATCTTGATAAGTTGTCTTGTGTGCAATTAAAAAGAATGTGTATTTGGTTGTTGGGTAAGATTTTCTGTAAATACTAATTATGCCAAATTGGTTGATAGTATGGTTCAAATCTTCTACATCATTGCTGATCTTCTGTCTAATTGTTCTACCCGTTCTGTCAGTTATTGTGAGTAGTGCTGAAATCTCTTGACTCTAATTGTAGGTTTCTCTATTTCTTTTTGCAGTTCTATCAGTCTTTGCTTTATGTATTTTGAAACACTGTCAGTAGGTGAATAAATGTCTGAGATTACCATATACCTCTGGACAAATGACTCCTTTGTCATAATTAAATGACTTTTTACCCCTGGAAATATGCTTTAGTGTAAAATCTACTCTGACAATAATGTAATAACCATTCAAATCTTCTTTTAATTAACATAATATTTCCCCTCTCCACTTTTACTTTTAAGGTGTTTTTACACTTACAGTGTGTATATGTGTGGGTTTGTATGTATGTTAGCATATAGTAGGATCCTTTTTTTAAATCAAATCTGACTATCTCTGCCTTTCAATTGGGTTACTTAGGCCATGAAAAAAAATGTAATATGATTATTAGTATATTTGGATTTTATTTTAGGAGTTTGTGATTTTATTTTCTCCTTGTACTATTAATTCTTTGTTATCTTTTTTCTCTTTTTTTTTGCTGCCTTTTGGATAAATTGAGAATTTTTATGATTTATTTTATCTTCTGTGTGGGCTTATAATAACTTTAAAAAAATAGCTGCCCTAGTGCTTATGGTATTAATCTTTAACATCACTATATACCTTCAAGTGATTGTACCAGTTCACAAGTAGTATAAAAACCTAGAACACATCCACTTCTCCCTTCTCAAACTTTCCCCCACTGTTTCCATGCACGTTACTCTTTCAGATGTTATATGTCTCACAATCATGGTTTTTGCTTTAAACATTTAATTATCTTTCAGTTCAGTTCAGTTGCTCAGTAGTGTCTGACTCTTTGCGACCCCATGGACTGACTGCAGCATGCCAGGCCTCCCTGTCCATCACCAGCTCCTGGAGCTTGCTCAAACTCATGTCCATCGAGTCCGTGATGCCATCCACCCGTCTCACCCTCTATCATCCCCTTCTCCTCCTGCCTTCAATCTTTCCAAACATCAGAGTCTTTTCCAATGAGTTAGTTCCTTGTATCAGGTGGCCAAAGTATTGGAGCTTCAGTTTCAGCATCAGTCCTTCCAATGAATATTCAGGACTGATTTCCTTTTGGATTGACAAGTTTGATCTCCTTGCAGTCCCAGGGACTCTCAAGGGTCTTCTCTAACAGCACAGTTCAAAAGCATCAGTTTTTCAGTGCTCAGCTTTCTTTATGGTCCATCTCTCATACCCATACGTGACTACCAGAAAAACCATAGCTTTGACTATATTGACCTTTGTTGGAATAATGTCTCTGCTTTTTAATATGCTGTCTAGGTTTGTCATAGCTTTTCTTCCAAGGAGCAAGCATCTTTTAATTTCATGACTGCAAAAATAAAGTTTATCACGGTTTCCATTGTTTCCCCATCTGTTTGCCATGAAGTGATCTTTAGTTATCTTTAAAGAGATTTAAATAAAATGAAAAACTTTGATTACCCATGTAGTAAACATTTCTGGGGCTATTTATTCCTTTATGTAGATTCATTTTTTTTAATCTGATACTATTTTTCTTTCTTTCTAAAGGACCTCCTTATATTTTTGGCAGTACAAGTGTGCTGGTAATAGTTTATATATATATGAAAATAAATATAAAAGAGTAATATTTTAAAAGTATGAAAAAGTACTTTGCCTCTATTTCTTTATTTTGCCTCTATTTCTGCCTCTATAATTTATTCAAGCAAGATAATCAGTGAATACAAAAATAATTGAGTGAAAAATATTTATAGACTATGCACATAATCTCAAAGTACCACCTTCCAAATTGCTTATTAATTGAAAAGAGACACTATAGTTGGAAGACCTGGAGGATAAAATGTAGCTGGATGATCCAGTTTTGCATCACTGAAAATGGAGCATACTGATATTATGTGTTTTCTGTGATGATGGAATAGGGGTGAATATTATTAACTAGGTATTAGCAATTGTCTGACTTGAGTTTTACAGTGTTGCCTCTATTTCTGAAAGGTACTTTCCCTGGATGTAGAATTCTAGGTAGATGATTTTTTTTTTTTCCATTTAGTACTTATCTTTATTCTTCTCTCTTCTGGCTTGTATTGTTTCTGGTTAGAAGGCTGCATCATTTTTGTCTTACTTGGTGTGGTTTTCTTCATGTTTCTTTGGCTTGGGGATCATTGTGACTTTGGGGTCTGTGGGTACGTCATTTTCATAAAATCCTGGAAATTTTCAACTTGTATTTCTTCAAAGACTTTTCCTATTCCAGGAAGGCAGGCCCTCTCCTGTCCTTCAGGGATTCATATTACATGAATTGAGGAATGCTCAGTTCTGTATCCTCCAGAACTCACTCATTCTCTGGGTGCAGCTGTAATCTCTTTGGTATCCTGCCCTCTGGTCTCTTGGTTTACCTGGACTCCCAGCTCCATCTCCTCAATTCAAGAAAGAACACTGGGTTTTGCCTGCTCCCCTCCCTGCAGTGCCGTGGTTTAGAATCTCCCTCTACACAGTAATTTGGGAAGACTCTAGGGTTCCCCTCCTTTTGTGTCCTGACTTTCTGGTATTTCGGTCCTTTGTTCCCTGACATTCAATGTCTTGAACATTGTTGTTTCATATACTTTGTCCATTTTTTTTAGCTGTTCAGGTGGGAGGGCAAATTACGGTTATTCCGTCTTTTTACTGAAACAGCTATACAGAGGGGATGAGAGAGGTTAAATAACTTGCTCAAGAACACAGGTAGTAAGTGACTAGAAATCTTGCGGACTTCCAAGATAATTCTCTTAACCGTCAGGTTCTTAACACTCTCCTGTACAACACAAATTAATACATTTAATAGCTGGTGTTTTTATTTAGGTATTCCATGAAGAAACGTTGACGAATTTCGTACAGAAATGACTTTCCCTTTCTCCTTTTTTAAGATAAATGTGAGGAACATGAAGAGAAAATTACATTAGTTTCACCCGCACATGAAATTGATGCTCGTTCGTGTCCTCTTATCACAAGTGTGCACAAAGAGCCTATAACTTGGTATAAAAATGACAGCACGACACCTGTATCTACAGAAAGAGAATCTAGGATTCATCAGCACAAAGACAAGCTCTGGTTTGTTCCTGCTGAAGTGGAGGATTCAGGAGCTTACTACTGCTCAGTGAGGTAAGCAAGCGATAAACACGTTACAAACATGTGGTGTCTGTACCTGCAATACTTCAGGGCAGAAAAAAAAATATTTTTAATGAACCGATTTTGATTTATTTTAGAAATTCAACTTACTGCCTCAAAATTAAAATAGTGGCAGAGTTTGTGAAGCAAGAACCTAACTTGTGTTACAATGAAAGAACTGTGTTTACCCAGAGGCTACTGACTGCGGGAGATGGGCAACTTGTATGTCCTTATTTGGACTTTTTAAAAGATGAAAACAACGAGTTACCCCAAGTACAGTGGTATAAGGTAACTTTGTATTATTACATTTGGCCTTTTACTTCTCTAGCAAATAAAACAGTTTGCTCTCATAGACAATAGGATGAATCTGCAAAGTACTTTTTCATTTGACTGATTATTTGCTTTTGAGTGGTGAAACTTAATAGAACATTTAAAAAGTTTTATGATTGTATGCATTTAATTTGCAGCTTAACTAAAAATTTACTTTCTGTCATTTTTGTTTAATAGGGTACAGCTGAGAAAAGTATAGTGGGCATATAAGATGTTTAAAGATAAGGATGATTGTAAATATAGGGTTTTTTAAAGTGACTATTTGTTATAAAGTATATTATTTAATGTTTTATTATAAATATTAAGTGGTCCTTAGATAACTTTAGTGGTTTTTGTAACTGAAAAGTGATCAGCTAGCACTGCATGGAATGCATCATATTCTGGTATCTTTGATCTACCTGGCTTGTTGGAGCTTACATGGATAATCATTTTTTAGAGGTTTAAAAATATAAAATATCAGTGCAGAATGAAAGTATATCATTACTAAGAAACTGTAGTTAGCATTCTGTCCTCAGACATTTTTTAGATTGGTCTCCAGTTGTCTTCAAAGTGCAAGACTCATAGGCATAAAAATGTAACATCCTGGGAATATAATTATGACTGTGCCAAAAAAAAAAGCAAAATTAAAACTTCTGTGCAAGCACCTTTCTATTTACATATACATGGATGTGTGTTCTAGTCGGTTAGTCGTGTCTAACTCTTTGTGACCCCATGGACTGTAGCCCACCAGGCTCCTCTGTCCATAGTGTTTCTCAGGCAAGAATATTGGGGTGGGTTGTCCTTACATGAATATAAATATGAATAATTGGTTTTCAATACTGCCTTTCCCCCTGTCTAGGATTGCAAGCCTCTACTTCTTGACAACGTAAACTTTGCTGGAGTAACAAACAAACTGATCATCACAAATGTGAACACAGCACATGGTGGGCACTATATGTGTCATGCATCGTACACACACTTGGGAAAGCAGTATCGTGTCACCCGGGCAATAAAGCTGATTACTCTGGGTGAGTCATAGCTGGAGTCCTAGGAGTTTAAATCCGGGAAGGTCCAGAGACTGTGAGTAATGTCACCTTCACTGTCTACAGAGGGACTAAGTCCAAGAGAAGCTTGATGACTTGCTAGAGGACACCTGGCTTTAGTTTTTGTTGCAATATGCTCTGTAAGTGTTTTCATTCCTGCTTCAGATGCAGTGCTGATTCAACAGATGGGATGAGCTGAGTTTTCCAGCTGAACTAGGAGTCTTGTTTTTGGGCATGGCTAGAGATGGTTCTCTAGAGGCTTCAGGGACTTCTCTGGCTGGTACTGAGGAAAGGACAGTTCTGAGACCCCTCACCTGGGGAGTCTGGGTGTCTAGCAGTTGTTGGAATGATGGGCCTTGAAATAAGTTACACTTTTTCAAAAAAACCTTTTTATTTTGTATTGGAGTACAGCTAATTAACAATGCTGTGATAGTCTCAGGTACACAGCAAAGGGGCTAAGCCATACATGTTCATGGATTCATTCTCCCTCAACCCCCCATCTAGGCTGCTGCATAACACTGAGCAGAGTTCCCTGTGCCCTACAGCAGGTCCTGTCAGTTATCCACTTTAAATATAGCGGTGTGTACATGTCCATCCCAAACCCCGTAACTATCCCTTCCCTGCACCCTTCCCCCCTGATTCTAAGTCACCACGGGGCATCTTTGATTTCCTCAATCTGCATAAGCCACTCTAAAATCAGTAAATGGCTAGTCATAGTTATAAATCAGTCAATCCACAGTATTGTGAGTGCTCTGCTAGAATCAGTGAGGGAAGACCACAGTGATGACAGCAAATATATATTATATATATATTGTTGGTTGTCCATTTTAAATATAGCAGTGTGTGCATACTTAGGGATGGACATATCCATCCCTAACTATCCGTTCCCCCCATTCTTCCCCTTGGTGACCATAAGTTCATTTTCTAAGTCTGTGAGTCTCTTTCTGTTTTGTAAGTTCCTTTGTATCATTTCTTTTAGCTTTATGGGGGGATGTCATATGATATTTCTCCTTTTCTGACTGACTTCACTCAGTATGACAATCTCTAGGTACATCCCTGTTGCTGAAAATGGCATTATTTCATTCTTTTTAATGGTGTGTAATATTCCATTGAATACATGTACCACAGCTTCTTTATCCATGGAATATGCTCCACTCTTTGTCAAATCTTTGTTAACGCAGTTGCATAACTTCTCTAAGCCCGTTTCCTTCTCTGTAAGCAGATTCAAGCTTCCAAGGTTGCTGTGAACTGTGTTGCTGATCAAGCGTGCTCAGCTTGTAGTCATGTGCCAGGTGCCCGGCAGCTGAGAAATGAATAGGTGCATGACAATTTTTCTTGTTAGTTATCCTGAGGCTGCTATTCACCATATTTCATATTAAAAACCATTTTAAAACAAAATAGAACAAATTCACCCTTATAAGTTACCCGGGGATGGGCAGAATGCTCAACCTTTCCCTTAATACTGGGATTTCCTAAGCTTTCAGTAATGTATGAAGAGAGTTTTTCCCATGAATTTATGTTTACCACAGGGGAGAGGATGGGAAGAGGGGAGGGCTAGTTAGGAAGTTTGGGAAGGACATGTACACACTGCTATGTTTTAAATGGATAACCAGCAAGAACCTACTGCATAGCACAGGGAATGCTGCTCAATGTCATGTGGCAGCCTGGATGGGAGGGGAGTTTGGGGGATAGTGGATCCATGTGTATGCACGCCTGTGTCCCTTTGCTGTCCGCCTGAAACCATCACAACTTGGTTAATTGGCTTTACTCTAATATGAAGTAAAAAGTTAAATTTATCAAGCTGTTTACAAAAAAAAAAAAAGAAGAGTAAAGTTACTCTAACCAGGACTTTGAAAAGTTAAAGCAGTCTCTATTAGTAATTATTCTGGGACAACAGGCCTAAATAGGGGCTACCCCAGGTAAACCCAGATGATCCCTTTTCAGACAGCCATGTTTTCTCAATTCTACAATTACTTATTTTTTCCAAAGCTTAATTGTGTTGTCGCAAAATCGCTTCCTTGCCTACATCCTACAAGCATCAGTGACTCCTAAATTTCAGGGGTCCTGAGTCACAACCATCCTTAGCAGCACTTCCCTGGGCGTTGTGTATCTCCAGTTTGTGTTTCTTGGGGTACTGCAGCCAGACCAGCAGACTAGATTTGACGGAAAACAGGGTGCTACAGAATTTTAAGAATTCAAATGGGTTTTAACTACTTTCTGACATCTTTTCTGATCCCTTATGTAGAAATAATATAATCAGGAGTGGGGTTGTATTTTGTTCCTCTTCTAAAGGTGGATTTATAAATATTTATTGGGCATTTCCTATCTTCCAGGCACTTTCTAGGTATACATTCAGGAACGAGAGAGACAATACCCTGCACTGATGGAGCTAACAATTTTTTTAAGTGGCAGAATGAATACTAGGCATTCAAATTTGGAGTTTCTCAGGTTCGGTCCTAGACCAACTCTTGAAGCCTATTTTCTTGAAAATAAAAGACAGATTATTTTCTGGAGACTCTTAGTATTTTTCTGCCTACTTTAATAAAGTATGCCAAAATGTGTGGCATTCTTTGATAACTCACTCTTGAGTTATTGTGAAAATTACTAAATAGACTCAAATCTAGCACTAGGTGACTTTCTGGTTAATAAAGCTCGATCCAGGGAAGCCACTTTGTTTTTCCTGATGTGCATGAAGAGATGTACTTGTCCGAAGACCCAGGGCCTGGTGATATTTGTGGTCTTTTTTTTTTTTTTTTGTAGCACCAAACTCTTATGGGTTCAGAAGGGCCGAGGTGCTATGGTTTTGCTATGACCTCTGAGTCAGCCTCCTGCCTTCACAAAAATCCTGGCCTTCTGTCTCCTGCCATGTATACTTTGGCCCCTAGAGGCAGATGCTGTGTTGTATATATTAGTATTCGGTATATTTTGCCAAGTGTTGTCATCATTGGAGATTCGAATCTACAAGAGACCTTGTGGGTGTTTTTCTTTCAGAGAAATCCAGGAACACAAAACCTGAGATTGTGAGTCCAGCTAATGAGACGATGGAAGTGGTCTTGGGTAAGTGGGCTACAATTAGGATATGCTGAAATCAGTATTTTTTTGAACTAGAGAGTAAGATAAACTGTACCTTTACTGCATACAAACCAAGCTGGTTCCTGCATGTATCTAAAGTTAGAAAGTGGCACAGGTTGCGTCTTGTTTCTTTGGATTTCTTGCCTCTTATGGCAAACATCTAGCCACGTCTCATTGACTCAGCGTTACTTTTCTATGGACAGTTACTGTTCATGAAGACACCAGCCGAAAAACAAGTTCAGGGACTTCCTGGTGGCGCAGTAATTAAGACTTCCCTTTACGACACAAGGGGTGTGGGTTTGATCCCTGCGGGGGGGGAGCTAAGATCTCACCTGCCTCGTGGCCAAAGAACCAAAACATAATGCAGAAGCAATATTATAACAAATTCAATAAAGACTTTAAAAATGCTCTACATCAAAAGAAAAAAAAATCTTAAAAAACAGACCAAGTTCAATAGGCCTAGTAATAAGAAATGGAATATATTTGGTACAGGATGGATTTCTTTTCCTGAGAGAGTTAAGCTTTTAGGTAAAAGAGTAAGACCCAGAAAATAAATTACTCTAGAGAATTATTTTTCCAAGTTAGTGATAATGTTTTATTTTAAGAATAAAGACATAATACTATAGGCATTCACATCTAAGCTGTGCAATACAGTAGCAACGAGGCATGTGTGGTTATGTACATAGCCACACTAAAGTTAAATTAAGTAAATTTAGTTTAATTAAATATTAGTCCCTCAGTCAAGGGCTGACTGGCTTAGATGTGACTAGTGACTACGTATTAGACAGCACAACTATAGAACTATTTGGCCAACACTGAACGTTACTGGAAACCACTGGTCCCAACATAAAAACAGACTTTTCTTTTGTATCAGAGGATCAAAATTCAGGCTGGCATATAGAATTCTCTTCTGTAATTGTAACTTCATGAAGACAAAGAACAATTGTACAGAGATTAAAAGCTAAAATGCATGACCTGTAAATTCTGTACTTGGCCAAGTTGTTCTTCATGTTGGAAGGTAATATACAGATATTCATAGATGTAAACAAAGATATGAAGACTTTAAATATTGGCCAGTAGATTTCAGAGCAGTGTTTTCAACCTTTTATTTCCCCCCTTTTTCTTCCCCTGTAGCACCTAACAGGACGTTTTTTTCCCAATCCTCTTTACTTTCTCAGATATTTAATGCCCAGATATGTACTCTGGCACTTTAGAGGACTGCAGACCATTGCAATAGATAAGTTTTTTTTTTGCTCTGCTCGCTAAGAAGCACATTTTTCCCTGTTGAGAAGGCATGCTCTGGGAATGTGTATTTAAGAGCTCTCTCTAAAGCCTAGATTTGATCTACAGATCTAAAAATAATAACTACATTCAGTTCAGTCTCTCAGTCATGTCCAACTCTTTGCGACCCCATGGACTGCGGCACGCCAGGCTTCCCTGTTCATCACCAACTCCTGGAGCTTGCTCAAACTCATGTCCATCGAATTGGTGGTGCCATCCAACCATCTCATCCTCTGTCGTCCCTTTCTCCTCCCTCCTACATTTGAAATAATTATTTTAATACATCACATTGATCGGAGGCCTGTTCACCATAGCATAAGGTTATGCTGTAGTCAAGCTTTTATTTGATAAAATTTCACATTAATTACCAATAAAATGACTTAGAAAATTAGGAACTGAGGGACATTTTATGCACTTGATGATGATGATGTTTAGTTGCTCAGTTGTGTCCAACTCGTTTGGACCCCATGTCCATGGGATTTCCCAGTCAAGAATACTTGAGTGAGTTGCCATTTCCTTCTCCAGAGGATCTTCCTGACCCAGGGAGCAAACCTGTGTCTCCTACTTGGCAGGCAGCTCCTTTACCACTGAGCCACCTAGGAAGCCCTCTGCACTTGATAAAGAACATGAATTCAAACCAGTCATCACCAGCATTTTTAATTGTGAAACACTAGAGTGTTAAGCCTCATACAGGCCTCGACCTTCTCATTGAAGTCAAGAGTGAGACTAAGATGCCCATATGAACAGTTAACTGTTACTTGTAACAGTTACTATAACAGTTAACAGTTACTTAACTTGTTACAGGAGTGCCCACTAATGCAAAGATAAAGGATCCAAGGCTTGCTGACTGTAGGGGAGAAAAGAACTTTTTTGTTTTTTGATTGTATAATTACATATCGATAAATTTCAAGAGAATTACTGGGGAAAGTTAGAATAATTATTGTATTATCTGGCCAGATATAAAATTAATATACTATAGTATTAGACTTGTTTAGCAAAAACCAGCAAGTAAACATAACAGGAAAAGAGATCCTATCACAACAGAGCTGTCTATAAAGTATCTTAGCAAAATCTTTAAAAAATATATTGGATTTATAAGGGAGAAAAAAGCCATCCAAACAAAAAATTCCCCCAATCTCTGACTTATAAACCTCAAAAAATGGAGGGTAATATTTCAGAATATGTACAATGTTGATGAACAGGCATGTTCATTGTTATATCAATCATAATTAAAAATTAGGAAATTATGTTTTGCAATAGGAAAGGAGCTTGTCATAATATGTCTGTATGATGGAATACTAAACCACTATGAAATAGCCTGTTTTGGAAGGCTGACCATGTGAGCTGAAATTCTCAATAATCAGAGTAGATGGTAATGCCCCATTTTAAAAGCTGCATAGTGCACAGAAAGGTAAGGAATAAGATACATGAAGTTACTAATCATGGTCATCAGTGGTAGATGTAAGAGCAATTTCCTTTTCCTTTCTTATACTTTAAAATTTTTATTCAGCAGTCATTTGTTAATCTAGATAGACCAGACTCCATTAATGTTATGATTTAAAAATACATTGCTTTGCAGGATCCTGGCTTCAATTGATCTGCAATGTTACTGGCCGGATAAGTAACTACGTCTACTGGAAGTGGAATGGGTCAATGATTAGTACATATACTCCTGTGCTAGAGGAAGACTTTATAATGTAAGTATGCTGAGAGTCAGTCATGCCCTAGACAAACTGTGGTATTAAATTCCAAGGGTAGCAAGGGTTGGCTTCTCTGGTGGCTTACTTATAAAGAATCCACCTACAATGCAGAAGATGCAGGTTCAATCCTTGGGTTGAGAAGATTTCCTGGAGGAGGAAGTAGCAACTCACTCCAGTGTTCTCCTGGGAAGATGGGGAGCCTGGGAGGCTACAGTCCATGGGATCGTAAAGAGTTGGACATGACTGAGTGGCTAAATAACAAAGCAAGAGTTAGTACCAAGGATTAGTGGTCATTGTGCTTAGTTGTTGTGACCCTGTGGACTGCACCCCACAAGGCTCCTCTGTTCATGGGATTTTCCAGGCAAGAATACTGGAGTGGTTTGCCATTTCCTTCTCCAAGTGGGTCTTTGATTGACCCTTGAGTTTTGCTAAGCTAAGTAGGATTCATAAGATCTTGTACAATACAGGTGAACTGCATGTTATTATGGTACCAATTCCAGACCACTTGGAAGGCTTTCTCTTAAATTCAGTTAAAAATTGCAACATTCCAATGATGCAATCATCCTGAATTTCCCTTCATGTCATTTCAAAGTAGTTTACGAAAGACTCATGAAATGCAACCAAGAACTAAAGCACGCCCCTGCTCAAGTCTCTGATGGCTCCCTATTACTTCTCCAGGGAGAAACTCCCAACCCTTAGCATCACCTAGGAACCTTGCCCATCTGTCTCGATCTACTCTTGTTTCATATATTCTCTGTGCCCCATGTAGCCCAAAATGCCTGCATCCCCATTTTTCTTTTTGGAAGCTTGTAATTTTAATTTGATTTCTCTCTGCTAGTAAGTGGTCCCAGAGCTATCAAATATCAGATCAGTGTGCTGCTTACAGCCTTATTCTTAGACCTGTGCTTTAGGCTGGTGATTCTTACTGCTGCAGTTTATGCAACAAAGAGAGAAACCAGGTATATGTATTGTTTCTATAATTGATGCCATCTATACAATTTTACTTACTCTTTTGAACAGAGTGGAGAATCCTTTAAACAGAAGAAGGAGTACAGTCCTCGCACGGCTTAATATTTCGGCAGTGGAAAGTAAATTCTTCCTGCATCCATTTACCTGTTTAGCCAAGAATACAGAAGGAATAAGCACAGCATATATACAATTAATACATCCAGGTAAACAAGAATCGTTTATTTGAAATGCAGTTTTGTTTTCCTGTGGTGAGATATCATGACCTTCAGGTTTGCAATGCTATTTCCTCTGCCCACAATGCTCTTAGATTCCTTTTAACCTGGGGACTTCCATTCACTTTACTTCTCAGGTGAACTGTATCTTCTGTGAGGTTTTTCTGTCCTACTTTCCTTCTTTTAACGCATCTCTCTGTCCCAAAAGATAAGGTGTTAGGGCCTCAGCTATGTATTTCCATATCTATCTTACTTAGTTTTCTTTACTTGATTCTAAGTTCTGTGATAATGCAGACAATTGCTAATCATTCTATTTCCAGAGCTAGTTAGCAACTTAAGTCTGATCATCAGTTCAGTTCAGTCGCTCAGTTGTGTCCGACTCTTTTCGACCCCATGGACTGCAGCACACCAGGCTTCCCTATCCATCACCAACTCCTGGAGCTTACTCAAACTCCTGTCCATAGAGTCGGTGATGCCATTCAACCATCTCATCCTCTGTTGTCCCCTTCTCCTCCTGCCTTCAATCTTTCCCAGCATCAGGGTCTTTTCAAATGAGTCAGTTCTTTGCATCAGGTGGCCAAAGTATTGGAGTTTCAACTTCAGTATCAGTCCTTCCAATGAATATTCAGGACTGATTTACTTTAGGATTGACTGGTTGGATCTCCTTGCAGTCCAGGGGACTCTCAAGAGTCTTCTCCAACACCACAAAAGCATCAATTCTTCGGTGCTCAGCTTTCTTTATAGTCCAACTCTCACATCCATATGTGGCTACTGGAAAAACCATAGCTTTGACTAGATGGACCTTTGTTGGCAAAGAAATGTCTCTGCTTTTTAATATGCTGTCTAGGTTGGCCATAACTTTCCTTCCAAGGAGTAAGCGTCTTTTAATTTCATGGCTGCAGTCACCATCTGCAGTGATTTTGGAGTCCAAAAAAATAAAGTCTCTCACTGTTTCCATTTTTTCCCCATCTATTTGCCAGGAAGTAATGGGACAGATACCATGATCTTAGTTTTTTGAATATTGAGTATTAAGCCAAACTTTTCACTCTCCTCTTTCACTTTCATCAAGTGGCTCTTTAGTTCTTCACTTTCTGCCATAAAGGTGGTGTCATCTGCATATCTGAGGCTATTGATATTTCTCCCAGCAATCTTGATTACAGCTTGTACTTTATCCAGCCCGGCATTTCGCATGATGTACTCTGCATATAAGTTAAATAAGCAGGGTGACAATATACAGCCTTGACATACTCCTTTCCTGATTTGGAACTAGTCTGTTCTCTATCCTGTTCTAACTGTTGCTTCTTGACCTGCATCCTGATCATCCTAGGTGCCTAATGAATACTTGTAGGTAAAGAACTCCATGATGGATGCACAGGGGAAGCTGAAATATCTACTTTCCAGGAAGGATGTCAGAAGTTACTGATTTTCATACGTTGTATAATCAAACACAATATTGCCAGTATTTGTGTTCCAGCTCATGGATTCATTTTTCTGTCTCATTTATTCTACTATTTACTCCTTCTAGTATATTTTTCATTGCAGTTATGGTATCCTTCTGCTCTGTTGGGTTGTTCTTTGTTAAAACTTCTTGTAACTTCTCACTCTGTGCACCCACCCTTTTCCTGAGTAGAACTTTATGATTTTTACAATCAGTATACTGAACTCTTTCTTGGGTAGACTGCCTATCTCCACTTCAGTTAGTTGTTTTTCTAAGTGAAGGGTTTTATCTTGCCCCTTTGTCTGTAATGTACTGTTTTGCTGTCTCATTTTGTGTAGATTTCTATTTGAATTTTTGTGTATATGGAAGGTTAGTTATGTTCCTTGACCTTGGAGAAGTGGCATCTCTGGGGAACATTCTGTTGTCCCATCAGTACACCTCCCTGTCAGCACCCAAGGGCCAGGGGCCGTGGTCCCAGGGTAGGTCCTGCCCTGTTTGTGTACTCTGTTCCACAGGCTGTGAGATGTGTCTGCCCTCTGGTGGGTGAGGCTGGTGTAGAGGCTTGTTCAGGCCTCCTAGGGGTGGAGCTATGTCTTGGCCCTCCTGCAGGAAAACAGGGGCAGAACACTCTGACACCCATCACGGCAATATTGGACTTCCTTGGTGGCTCAGTAGTAAAGAGGATGCCTGCAGTGCAGGAAAAGTGAATTTGATCCCTGGGTGGAGAAGATCCCCTGGAGAAGGAAATAGCAACCCACTGCAGTATTCTTGCCTGGAGAATCCCATGGATAGAGGAGCCTGGCAGACTACATATAGTCCATGGGGTCACAGGAGTTGGACATGACTGAGAAATACTATTTCCACCTTCACAGCAATATTATTTCTGATCCATTTTCTAGATAATGCAAATAAAAACAAAACCAAATGGGACCTAATTAAACTTAAAAGCTTTTGTACAACAAATGAAACTATAAACAAAATGAAAAGACAACTTATAGAATTAGAGAAAATATTTGTAAACAGTGTGACTGAAAAGGGATTAATCTCCAGTTATACAACTCAGTAACAACAAAAACCCAGTCAGAAAATGGGCAGAAGACCTAAATAAGACATTTTTTTCAAAGAAGACATATAGATGGCCAACAGGCATATGGAAAAATGCTCAACATCAATAATTAATAGAGAAATGCAGATCAGAACTACAATAAAGTATCACTTCCCTCTAGTCAGAATGAAAGTGAAAGTCACTCAGTCGTGTCCAACTCTTTGTGACCCCCTGGACTATACATTCCGTGGAATTCTCCAGGCAAGAATACTGGAGTGGGTAGCCATTCCCTTCTCCAGGGGATCTCTACTCCAGGGGATCTTCCCAACCCAGTGATTGTACCCAGGTCTCCTGCATTGTAGGCAGATTCTTTACCAGCTGATCCACAACGGAAGCCCAAGAATACTGGAGTGGGTAGCCTATCCCTTCTCCAGGGGATCTTCCTGACCCAGGAATCGAACCAGGGTCTCCTGCATTGCAAGTGGATTCTTTACCAGCTGAGCTATTAGGAAAGCCCCTGGTCAGAATGGTCATCATCAAAACATCTACAAATAATAGATGCTAGAGGGGGTGTGGAGAGAGGAACCCTCCTATACTGTTGGTGAGAATGTAAGTTGGTACAGTCTCTATAATAGAGAATAATAGAGCAGTTCCTTGAAAAACTAAAAGTAGAGTTACTATATGATCCTACAATCCTGCTCCTGGGCCTATATTCAGAGAAAACTATACATGAAATGCAGAGTTCATAGAAGCATAATGGAAGCAACCTAAATGTCCATGGACAGATGAATGGATAAAGAAGATGTGGTATATATTTGTAATGAAATGTTACTCAGCCATAAAAAGAATTCCATTTGCAGCAATATGGACAAATCTAGAGATTATCATACTAAGTGAAGTAAGCCAGATAGAGAAAGGTATATATGATATCACTTATATATGAAATCTAAAAAAAAAGATACAAATGAACTTGTTTACAAAACAGAAGCAGATTCACAGATATAGAAAACGTATAGTTACCAAAGGGTAGTGAAGTGACAGTCGTTCAGTTGTATTCGACTCTTTGCGACTGCATGGAGTATACAGTCCATTGACTTCTCCTGGCCAGAATACTGGAGTGGGTAGCCTTTCCCTTCTCCATTGGATCTTCCCAACCCAGGGATTGAACCATTGCAGTCTCCCGCATTGCAGGCAGATTCTTTACCAACTGAGCTATCAGGGAAGCTCTACCAAAGGGGGCGGGGGGTGGAAATTAGGAGGTTAACATGTACACACTAATGTATATAAAATAGATAACCAACAAGAACCTGCTGTATATAGTAAATACTATATGCTCAGTGTTTTGTAATAACCTATAAGGGAAAGAAAATCTGAAAAAAGTGTATATGTTGTTTAGTTTCTAAATTGTGTCCAGCTGTTTTGTGACCTTGTGGACTGTAGCCAGCGAGGCTCCTCTGGCTGTGGGGTCTTCCGAACTCAGGGATCAAACCTGTGTCTCCTACAGTGGCAGGCAAACTCTTTACCTCTGAGCCACCAGGGAAGCCTGGAAAAGCGTGTACATACACACATACATATAACTTAATCACTTTGCTGTATACCTGAAACAGCATTATAAACCAACTATACTTCAATAAATAAAAATTTTAAAGTATGTGAAACATTTTAAGATAATTTATAGTTGAATTAAAATATTTATGAATGTGTACATGGAAAAAAAAATCTAAAAGAACCTATGGACAAACTATTAGAATTAATAATTGGATTTAGCAAGATCACTAGTGAAAGTCACTCAGTCATGTCTGACTCTTTGTGACCCCATGGACTGCAGCCAGCCAGGCTCCTCCACTACCCCTGGAATTCTCCAGGCAAGAATACTGGAGTGGGTTGCTATATGTGTGTATATATAGTATTTCTATGTATATCTTTAAATACCAACAATGAAGAAATAGAACTTAAGTTTAAAAAAAATAGCATTTATAATAGCATCAAAGCTATACTAAGTACATCAAATAAAGTACATCAAATAAAGTACTAAGTACATCAAACTAAGTACATCAAATACTTAGGAATAAATGCAGCAACAATTGATGCAAACTAAAAATAATTACTAAGATAAAGACCTAATAGATTGAGGGATAAATAATCATAGATTGAAAGACTCAGTATTATAAATACGCTGCTGCTGCTGCTGCTAAGTCACTTCAGTTGTGTCTGATTCTGTGCGACCCCATAGACGGCAGCCCACCAGGCTCCCCCATCCCTGGGATTCTCCAGGCAAGATTCTCCCAGGTGGGATTCTCCACCCCACTGGAATGGTGTGCCATTGCCTTCTCCAGGGATAAATACGCTCAGTTCAGTTCATTTCAGTCACTCAGTCGTGTCCGACTCTTTACGACCCCATGAATCGCAGCACATCGCAGCACACCTGTCCATCACCAACTCCCGGAGTTTACCCAAACTCATGCCCATCGAATTGGTGATGCCATCCAGCCACCTCATCCTCTGTCGCCCCCTTCTCCTCCTGCCCCCAATCCCTCCCAGCATCAGGGTCTTTTCCAATGAGTCAACTCTTTGCATGAGGTGACCAAAGTACTGGAGTTTCAGCTTCAGCATCAGTCCTTCCAATGAACACCCAGACTGATCTCCTTTAGGATGGACTGGTTGGATCTCCTTGTAGTCCAAGGGACTCTCAAGAGTCTTCTCCAACAGCACAGTTCAAAAGCATCCATTTTTCGGCACTCAGCTTTCTTCACAGGCCAACTCTCACATCCATACATGACCACTGGAAAAACCATAGCCTTGACCAGACGGACCTTTGTTGGCAAAGAAATGTCTCTGCTTTTTAATATGCTTTCTAGGTTGGTCATAACTTTCCTTCCAAGGAGTAAGCATCTTTTAATTTCATGGCTGCAGTCACCATCTGCAGTGATTTTGGAGCCCAAAAAGATAAATTCTGACACTGTTTCCACTCTCTCCCCATCTATTTCCCATGAGGTGATGGGACCAGATGCCATGATCTTAGTTTTCCGAATGTTAAGCTTTAAGCCAACTTTTTCACTCTCCTCTTTCACTTTCATCAAGAGGCTTTTTAGTTCCTCTTCATTCTCTGCCATAAGGGTGGTATCATCTGCGTATCTGAGGTTATTGATATTTCTCCCGGCAATTTTGATTCCAGCTTGTGCTTCTTCCAGCCCAGCGTTTCTCATGATGTTCTCTGCATATAAGTTAAATAAGCAGAGTAACAATATACAGCCTTGACGTACTCCTTTTCCTATTTGGGACCAGTCTGTTGTTCCATTTCCAGTTCTAACTGTTGCTTCCTGACCTGCATACAGGTTTCTCAAGAGGCAGGTCAGGTGGTCCGGTATTCCCATCTCTTTCAGAATAAATATGCTAGTTCCCCTCAAATTAATCTGTACATTGAAACCAGTTCCAATCAAAATCTCAGCAGTATTTGTGCAGGTGTGGGTGTGTGTTTGTGTGGGCATGTTATTGTGGGTATGTTTATTCTAAAAGTCATATTGGAAATGTCAAGGGCCCAGAATAGTTAAGGTGGTCTTGAATAAAAGCAGTCTGGAAGATTTACACTTCAGATAAGATGATCTTGTACAAAGCTACAGCTGGGGACTTCCCTGGTGGTCCAGTGGTTAAGAGTCGGCCTTGCAATGCAGGGGACATGGGTTGGATCATGGTGGGGGAACCAAGATCCCACATGCTGTGGAGCAACCTAACCCGAGCACCGCAACTAGAGAGTCTGTGTGCTGCAACTAAGACCCGACACAGCCCGATAAATAAATAAATACTTTAAAAAGCTACAGTGATTGAGTATAAATGTGAACTATCAGATGGGCCAATCGGACATTAATCTACCTTAATTTCCACTTCATACCCAGTTCAACTGCAGGTGGGTCAGTGACCTAAATTGGAAAATCAAAATAACCAAGCTTTAGATTCTCTTTCCTGGTGGTCTCTTTGGCCCCTGATGTTGAGAAGGCTCCTTCTTCTTTCTCCGCCTGCCTCTCCACCAGACTCCTCCACGGCCATCAGCTGACTGACTAGCCTGTGGAGCTGGGAGAATGTGGAGTGTGAAACCCTGTCAGGCGGTCCTAACCTCTTCTTTCCTTTCTGCTAGTCTGCCGCTTTCTCCACCCGACTCTTCTTCTGTAGAACGTTTGTAGGCTTCTGAGCTTTACTCATATTCCTATGAAGTGCTCTATCTTATGGTCTTTGTGTTTTTTCTGTTATTGAATACTACATAAGTGGAAATTAAATACAATGCACCTTAGTTTTATACAGTATCCATCCTCAATGCCTTTGTAGATTAGTATCCATTAATAGGGGCTTTGCTGGTGGCTCAGTGGTAAAGAATCTGCCTGTAAATGCAACAGGCGCAGATTCGATCCCTGGGTTGGGAAGATCCCCTGGAGAAGGAAATGGTAACCCACTCCAGTGTTCTTACCTGGGAAATCCCATGGACAGAGGAGACTGCCAGGCTATAGTCCATGGGGCTGCAAAGGAGTCAGACATGACTTAGCAACTAAACAACAACAGTAACCCATTAATAAGATATGGTAATGAATGAGTTAATACTGTCTGGAATTTGGGCTTACAGGCCCATCCCAAATATGGTTTTCTGGGATGGTAATGGTTAATTTGCTGTGCTCAGTTTTAAGTCCTTTGGGTTCTAATGTGTTTTTCCCTCTTCTCTGCTGTAGTCCCTGATTTCCAGAAGCCCACAGTTGGTATATTCGTCATGTTAACGTTGGTAATTACATGCTCTCTCTGCATCTACAAAGTCTTCAAGGTTGACATCGTGCTTTGGTACAGAGATTCCTTCTATGATTTCCTCCCCAAAAAAGGTACAATTTTGTATTCTATGCAGTATTTTCCTGAGAGAGTGGGGGTAGTTAAGAGGGTTTTTATTCAAATTTTAAAATGAAGTGTGGTCCATACAAAATAATGTAATTATACATAATTATAGTTTCATGACTGAATAAACTGAATAGTATTAATATTTTCTAAGTTACTGCTCTGGTGTTCATAATGGTGGGATAGCCTGGCATTTAGACCATCTGCTTGTAAATCCAGTTATTCAGAAGCCATGGTTGAAGACTTGCTCTATGCTAGGTAGCACAGGGATCACCCCATTATCTGCCATAAAATGAAAGAAATGACTGAGTTTCCATGCACAAGGGAAGCATTCTCTATTTTGTTTAAACCTCAGAAAAAACTCCTACTCCACTAATATATGGGCTTTGCTGGTGGCTGAGTGGTATAGAATCTGCCTGCCAATGCAGGAGAAATGGGTTCGATACCTGGGTTCGGAAGATCCCCTGGAGAAGAAAATGGCAACCCACTCCTGTGTTCTTGCCTGGAGAATCCCAAGGACAAAGGAGTCTGGTGGGCTACAGTCCATGGGGTCACAGAAAGAGTCAGACACAACTTAGTGACTAAGCAACAACACTAATGCATAAAAGGAAGAGTGGATCGAATTCAGGACTGAGACATTTGAGTAAGATGAGAACAAGGAAATGAAGATAGTTTCATACTAGGCAGGTAAAGAATCTTTCCTTATGGGGGACCATTGAATAATATAAAAACTTTGCAGTGAAACACAATAAAAAGAAACTTGTCAGAGATGAATACTTTAAAAAGGCATTATACTTTTTGGTATTGTTGCTGCATACCATTGTACACAAAGTTAGCAATTCACTATGAAATGCATGTTTGTGATATTGACTTTACCAAATCTCATTTTTTCTTTTGGTTCTAAATCTACTGCATTTTCTCTTTTAGTTTCAGATGGAAAGACGTATGATGCATACATACTATGTCCAAAGACCCCTGGGGAAGGGCCCACCTGTAACTCAGATATTTTTGTGTTTAAAGTCATGCCTGAGGTCTTGGAAAAACAGTGTGGCTATAAGCTGTTCATCTGTGGCCGGGACGACTACGTTGGGGAAAGTATGTATGCGGTGGAAAGAAGTAACATCTTGTATAACTAACTGAATTACTAAAGTTGGGTTTCCTGTTTCTGGAAGACTGCAGCCTGGGTGTACATACTTGACAACTTGAAGAGCCTCTTAAGTGGGACTTCCCTGCTGGCTCAGCGGTAAAGAATCTGCCTGCCAATGTAGGAGATGCGAGTTCAATCCCTGGGTCAGGAAGATCCCCTGGAGGAGAAAATGGCAACCCTTTCTAGTATGCTTACCTGGGGAATCCCATGGACAGAGGAGCCTGGTGGGCTTCAGTCCAAAGGGTCAAAAAGAGTCAGACACGACTGAGAGACCAAACAAGAACACATAGTGGCACATGATGATTTCATACTAAATGCAAAGTGCTTATTTTTCTCATACTCTATTGGGGCAAAAATTAACTAAATTTTATTTCATTTTGCAGAACTTAACTAGTTAGGTCTAGTAGTTACTTTACAACTGATGGTAAAATAGAAGTGACACAGATCCAGTGGTTTAACAGGAAAGTTTATAACATTTATTCTTAAAGTACTCCTACGCCTACAGGAAATACTCACCTTTTGTGGGTCAGTGTTTGAGCTCTTCTGTAAAATGAGAAACTCCTGCAATTTTAAGGCAAGAAGAAAGAGTATCGGGAGATATAGGTGATGGGATGGGAAGAACCTCGAGGGGTCTTGGTTCTCGGGGGAAGGATTATAAATTGAAAGTTTACTTACTATGCTGTGTCTCATGTTTTTCAGGCATTGTTGAGGTTGTTAATGAAAATGTAAAGAAAAGCAGAAGACTGATTATCATTTTGGTCCCAGAAACATCAGGATTCAGCTGGCTGGGGAATTCATCTGAAGAGCAGGTGGCCATGTACAATGCTCTCATTCAGGAAGGAATTAAAGTTGTCCTACTGGAGTTGGAGAAAATCCCAGACTATGAGAAAATGCCAGAATCCATTAAATTCATTAAGCAGAAACAGGGGGTCATACGCTGGTCGGGGGACTTTAGAGAGGGGTCGCAGTCCATGAACTCGAGATTCTGGAAGAAGGTCAGGTACCACATGCCAGTCCGGCGGCAGCGGCCTTTATCCAAGCACCAGCTGCTGTCCCCGGCCACTCTGCTGGACTCTAAGGAGAAACGACCCATGGAGGTCCACGTGCCTCTCGGGTAGTGGAGAAGCTTGGCCAAGAGTTCCTTGGTGACTCCTGTCTCCGGGCACTGCAGGCTGGGCCTCACTGACTTGCACAGTCATCCTACACACCTGTTTAGTCCCTTATCCCCGAGGTCACCTGGGACCGGATTAAGGGAGCAGGATGTGGCAACAGTTGCTCTGTGGCCAGGGCAACTCCAGGCAGAGGGCTTGGGAAGTCCTTTAACAAGGCGCTGGATGCCCTGTCTGAATGTTTCAACTGCTGAGAAAAGGCGCTGGGCAGCAAACCAGAGGAATGAACATGCAGGTAATATTCACCATGTATAGACAGATTTAGGATGTCTCCCAGGGTCCGAGGGCAGGGCTGTGGCCCAGTCTGGGGACAGCAGGCCCTCAAGAGGTTCTCCTGGGCATTGCTACAGGCAGACTGAGACCTGTACTTCCCAGAGGATGTAGAAGCATTCTTGGAGAACTTTCCATCTGCCTTGCATTTCCCATACCTCTCGACAGACAGCTGGCAGTCACTTTCCAAAGATGGAATTTCATTTCATGGAACCTTTAAAACTGTCATTTCAATGAGCAAAGGAGTTCCCCTGACTCTTAAGGGTTTGAAATAACCTTAGCTTTCTGTAGGAGAGAGAGAATTTTGAGAGGAAGAATAGCAGAGAATGGATCCACCTCTTCATGCCTCCCCCCTGCAGTGACCACTTGGTTCCACCTTATTCTTCTGCCTTTTCCTAAACTCGTCGCTTCTCTGGAAGGTCCACTTCCAAGTCACCTCCTCCTTACACTCTGTCACACACATGACCTACAGATGAAACATCTTTCTACGATGCCCACATCTTAAAATGCCCTTACTAGACCGCCTCCATGGGCTCCTCCTGGGTCAGGAGCGAAAGCCCACTTCCTCCCACGAGCATCTCCCCACTGCCCTATGCAGCTCGACACCTCTCAGCCCTGCTCTGCACACCCCAGATTGTTCACCTTCACACCTGTCCCCAGCCTCCCTCCATCTCTGCCTCTCCTTCCCATCTCCTCTGACCAGAAATCCTCTTCACATTTTCTCTAGCTGACCCAAATTTTACTAATACTCAAGATTTACTCCAAGTCCCTTTCCCCAAGAAACTTCCCTCAGGCAGTTGTTCTGTTTCTGTCAGTCTGATTGTACTTAGGCTGTCTCTTTGCGGGAAGTTGCTTCTGTCTCCAGCTCCCAGCCTTCTTCTGCAGAAAAGGCAAGGGTGTCTCTTTGTTGGCAATGCCTTAAGAAGAAGTTTGCACACATTACGTAGACTGGTGTAGTGCTTTACTGTTTAAAAATGTCCACAGGTTATCTTATTTTTTGAAAACCTCTGTTAAATTTCCCTTTAACCTCTTCCTTTCAAGCCTTTCCCATTAATTAGGTTTTACTGGATAATCTGATGGGAATTTTTCTTCTTGGTCAGTGTGAGTGTTTAAGAAAAGTTTGCAAGTATAGTGAAGTATTATTCCATTTCCAGTTGTTAAAACTGGTTTAGTGGAATTTTTATTTTCCCCCTTCTGCCTCTATTTTTAGTAAAAGAGGGTATTGAGCCATTTTTTAATGAGTTTTTTGATAAATTATATTTGTACTGGTTAATGATTTAAAAAAAAACTTGTTTGTATAATTCTGCAGCAGATACCAAATATTTTTATATAGAAAGACACCAGATTCATGTACAGCATGTATCATTGATCAATGGACTGTACTTATTTTCCAATAAAATTGTCAAAACCTGGTATTGATTGTTCTCCTTCAAATCTGTTTCTTTGCCAGCTCTCTCCCGAGTTTACCTGTGTGCTTCCAGGTTGGGTGGAGAGTGGACACCTTCTTCCTGGGGAGGTCAGAGGTCATTAGCTGAGGGCTGACTTCCCTTTGTAGCCTCAGCTGCACTCTGTCTGCTTGCTCCTAAAATAGATTAAATATGAGTCTTATTAACTTACTACCAGTCCAAGAACTCATAAGGGCAACATCTGTATAGACTTTTACATCTTTTTTTTGCTGTTTACAAAAACCTATATTGGAGTATAACCAATTAACAATGTTATAGTTTCAGGTGGACAGCAAAGGGACTCAGCCATACGCACATGTATCCATCTTCCCCCAAACCCCCTCCCATCCAGGCTGCCACATGACATTGAGCAGAGTGCCCTGTGTTCTGCAGTAAGTCCTTGTTGGTGACCCATTTTAAACATAGCAGTGTGTACCTGTCCATCCCAAACTCCCTAAGTTCCCCCACCATACATTTGTTCTGTAAGTCTGAGTCTGTTTCTGTTCTGTAATTAAGTTCATTTGTATCATGTCTTTTTAGGTTCCACATGTAAGGTATGTCATAACATATTTGTCTTTCTCTGTCTGACTTACTTCACATGGTGTGACAATCTCCAGGTCCATCCACGTTACTACAAAAGGCATTATTCATTCTTTTTAATGGCTGAGTACTAGTCCATTGTATATATGGACCACATTTTTTTTATCCATTCCTCTTAGACTTTTACATCTCACAAAAGTTTTTATTTTTCTCCTTTGACCCAGGAGCCTAACAAAACCAACAGATTGCATATCCAAATGCGAGCTCTAATGTTCGCAAACTCTCAGGATCAGGGTGCCCTTCCTAGCTTGTCAGTGCCTCTTTCTTCTTACCTTGTAGCTGCTCTAACAAGCAGATGGTGCTGTGAGTACCCGGAGAAGGGCAGAGGTGGCCGGTCACCTTAAAGTCCATAGGGTCAGGCAGATGGCCTGTCCTCAGAGAATGGTAGCTTTGTCTCTAGTAATTCTGTGAATCAACTTGGTTTCTCCAGTCATGTTGAAATCTGCAGATATAATGGATAGAGAATCATACAATTGGTGATTGAACCTAAGGGAGGAGGCAAAGCAACGTAAAAGTAAGGACAGGGTAGAGAAAGTCAGGTGAAGCCGTGATGTATGCAGACCAGAAACCTGGCTCACCCCCGTCCCAGGTGTTTCTGAGCGGCTCAGGGCCAATGACTGTGTCCCTAGGACCCTCTGCCAGCCCCAAACTTTATAGGATGTTTAGTGTTCTAAAGAAAGAAGGGGATTAGTTTAACACATTCCTGAGATTTTTCAACAAAAATTAAAAATACAAGAACTTAGGAAAATTGGGGAGTCAGCTATCTAGAAAACTTGCCTAAACAGACTATCTCAGTGGAAGGATTCAAAGAGATTTCACCATATTTTGGTGATTTTTTTTTTAACCAGTTAATATATTTTTAACAAACAGAATAAAACAATCAGTGCTAAGAGCAATTGTCTTTTTTTTTTTGTCATGAGAATTTATATTTTTCTCTTTACCAGATAAACTTTCCTCAGAATAGCCTTTTTTTTTTTTTGTCTCTGGAATTATTTCTCACTAGTGGTGCTACCTAGTTGGAAAGAGACCTGAGTATAAGTTTCTGCACTGTCACAGTTTTGAAACTTGTACACAGCACAAGGTTGTTTTGACCTTTCATGCCAAGAAGAAAGTGACATGATGTATTTAAAGTGTGCAGTGCAGTGCATGCACACTCAGTTGTGTCCAACTCTTTGTGACCCCATGGACTATAGCCCACCAGGTTCATCTGTCCATGGGATTTTCCCAGCAAGACTACTGGAGTGGGTTGCCATTTCTTTCTCCAGGGCATCTTCCCAACCCAGGGATCTAGCCCTTGTCTCCTGCCTCAGCAAGCAGATTCTTTACCACTGAGCTACCTGGAAAGTCCATATTTAAAGTAATAAAAGGGAAAAACCTACAACCAATACTCAACCCAGTCAAGTTCTCCTGACTTAAAGGAGAAATCAAAAGCTTTACAGAGAAGCAAAAGCTAAAAGGATTCAGCACCACCACAACAAATGCTAAAGGGATTTCTGTAGGAGGAATAGAAAAGGCACAACTAGAAATAAGACAGGAAAGGGGAAGCTCATAGGTCAAGACAAATAAACAGTAAAGGTAGAAAATCAACCACACCACATATGATCTCAAAGCTAGCAATCCTGAGAAGAGGAGATCACAAATGTAATATAGTGGAAACGCAGACAGGCAACTTAAAAAATCTTATCTATATAGACTGCTACATAAAAACCACAAGTTAACCAAAACCCCCAAATCTATAGTAGATAAGTGCATAAAAAGGAAGCCAACGTAACATCAAAGAAAGTCATCAAATTACAAGAGAACATAGGAGGAAGGTGAATTCTACCAAATGTGTGTGTGTGTGCACTCAGTTGTGTCTGACTCTTTTGCAATCCCATGCACTGTAGCCTGCCAAGCTCCTCTGTTCATGGAATTCTCCAGGTAAGAATACTGGAGTGGGTTGCCATTTCCTCCTCCAGGGTATCCTCCTGACCATGAATCGAACCCATGTCTCGGCTCCTGCATTAGCAGGTGGATTCTTTACCACTAGCGCCACCTGGAAAACCCCCTATCCTTCTGAAACTTTTCCAAAATATTGCAGAGGAAGAACACATTCAAACACATTCTATGAGGTCACCATCACCCTGATACCAAAACAAGACAGAGATACCAAAAGAAAAGAAAATTACAGGCCAATACAACAAAATTATAGGCCAATATCATTAATGAATGTAGACGGGAACATTGTCAACAAAATACAAGCAAAATGAATCTAACAGTCCATTAAAAGGATCATTCACCATGATTTAGTGGCATTTATCTCAGGAATGTGAGGATTTTTTAATATCTGCAAATCAACCAGTGATACACCACATTAACAAACTGCAAAATAAAAAAAATATATGATTATCTCATAGATGTAGAAGAAGTTTTTGACAAAACTTAACTTCTATTTTTGATAAAAATTCTCCAGAGAGTGGGCATAGAGGAAACCTTCCTCAGCATAATAAAGGTCATATATGACAAACCGACAGCAAATGTCATTCTCAATGATGAAAAGCCAAAAGCATTTCTTACAAGATCAGGAACAAGACAAGGATGCCCATTCTCTCCACTTTCATTCAACAAACTTTTGGAAGCTTTAGCCATGGCAAG